AACACCCACCCACCCCTCCCATAAAAAGGAGAAGAAGAAGGAGGAAAGAGAGATCATACTTTACTTTTCCAACATGTACATTTGACATGGGGTAAATAGAACAGCTATTACTCTTTCAGCTTTTTATTTATGTTTACTATTAATTTTATCCAAAGCGGAGTAACAAAGTGGTCCACTGATCAAAGATTACTTACAGCAGAGGAAAGGGTAAGAAAATGGCTGATTTAAAAAACTTTACGAAGTACTGTAAATTAATCATTTGATAGATAACATTGTATATTGATTCTACTACATTGTAAAGCAACATTACATTTACCATAAGTGTACAATAATTAGCATATTTTAGTTTTTGATGCTTAGAAGTTTGTTTGCATTTGCCTTGCATTTTAATCAGACTAGAGTAAAACAAAACCAGGAAGGCTTACAAAACTGGGGCCGAAACTCTTAAAAACAAAGGGTGTGTCAGTCCTAATTTTTGGACTCCTAAATTTTTGCTCTAAGAGTAAAGCATTTTAGCACTATATCCAGCTCCTAAATCTGTAAAACGTTAGGAGAGGTCAAGAGGACTCATAAGTCAAAACCAAAAGAAAAACAATCCTAATGGCTGTTTCTGGCAATCCGCCTCAGCAATCCACCCACACTCTACACCATTGAGGCAATAGAGCTGAACCTTTTCTTCATAAATGCAATAAATATTTTGATTTATAGATTTTAATCTGCGATCATCACATAACAAAGTTTATTTATACAGGCCAAATGCACTGAATGATGGAGAATAAAACATTGCGGTCATGTTGAAAATAATATCCCATTTTCTGCGCTTATAGCCTTGTGGGCAGCTTGAGTGACCTTTCCGGCTCGTGGACCTTTCCCGATCCCACATGCCTCCTCTCAAAGTGATTGAATGTGCTCCTCCCGAACTTTTTTTTTTGTAATCTCTCGAGATGCAGACATGTTGGAAGCTGACAATTAGCTGAACATATACTAGTTTAATTTTAGTGACACTATACAGCCTTAAACTTTATTTGAATATGGCAACATGATACCTCGTTCTACAATATTTCTACGATTATATCACTGATAGTGACCCCTCCCCCATCAGACAAATCACTGTGATCATAGTTAGTAACCGTTTTGACATCATCCATAGCAACGAGGTTAACCCCACCATTACTCATATCTTAAGACTTCTCTCTATTTCTTAGTAAAAGTTGGTCTCAGCAGCTTTGTGAAAAGGTTTCAACAGGGAAATTCTTACCTAAGAACTTTTTTTTTTATTTTGACGTCACACGGTCGAACGGCTTGATTTGAGGCAGGGGAAAACATATAAGGAGATTAAAACAAAAACACTGGATGGATTTTTATAATTTTATGATGGTTGTGTACAGGCACTGCCAACACACATTTCAGTACAATCAACTTGTAAAAGTGCATGTACCATTATATGACCCCTTTAAGAGTGTACACATAGGAAGTTAGGAACAAAATGCTATTGTGGCAAACAATGACGTTACACATAAGTACAGGAGTACACACACCCATTCCTCCCATGAATCTGAACTTTGATTTTACACCAGACTTGAGCCCTTAGTACATTTGTTCTGGCAGTAAATATAACCGCAATTAATCATCTGACAGCTTTCGTTACAGAGAATTTGATGTACTGAACTTTTGATAGTATACTATACCATCATAATATATAGGGCAGATGGTTATTTTAAAAGAACTTTAGCCTATATTGTTACCTTGGACATAAATTGACCACAAACAATTAAGGTCTTAAGACCTTAGATAACTTATTTTTAACTACACTGTAAAAAATAAATCGTAAAAAAAGGGTCAAATGACTGGCAGCAAAGGCTGCCAAACAAATACCGTAAAAATAAAGTAAAATATCCTAATTTAAATTAAGTGCAAAAACATTTTACAGATATTTTTCTTAAATGTTTTACAGAAAAACACTGTTATTTTACAGTTATTATCTGGATTATTACGATCAAACACCCTAACTGTAAAAACAATCCCATAAAAAACAGATAATGACTGTCAGCAATGGCTGCCATACAAAAAACATAAAATGAATGTAAAATAGCCTAATTTAAATAAGCGCAAAAGTAGAAATCTTCATTAAGCTTTTTAACAGAAACACAGTTATTTCACATATTTTCAGATTTTTTTATTAAGAAACATGTAGGTGATGCATGATTTACTGTGACTATACGTCACTGCATCAGCAACTACACAGTTACTGTCAGTTAAATAAAGCAACATGCAGCATTTCATCAGTGTTATTCTGCTCATCCTGAACTGAAGCACAGGCTCTACTCTTCAACACAATGGTGACACACAAAACACACCATACAGAAACAATTTACATCCCAACAGAACATTAAACACTAACAGATCTCTCAACATCTCTGCATCCTCACTTATTACAATCCAGACTTTATTTATTGCATACTAACAATCTTACTGAGAATTAACAGATGTTTAGAAGTTGCTTTTTTGTAGAAAATAATAAAGTTTGATGTCACCATGATGAATATCAGTGTTTGCTTTAGTCGGGCTCTTGACCCTTTGGTTTTAACATTACTTTTTCTCTGGCTGCTTTAACTGTGTGTCTCTGATACATATTGGATATGGTAGGAATCCAAGAGAAACTCAGATCAGAAGATCTGGTCACTTACTAGTGATAATAGTCAGCATGTAGTTGAATGCTTTATTGATGCTATCTGAAGAGTGAAATATCTGATTAATTTGTTAAATATTAGTTGTTAATTTTGCAAACCAATACTGTTATAGAAGATCATGCAGTGCCGTGATACTAAGATTTGATCAAGTCATACAGGAAATGTTTTGACCGGATCATACAGACTCACACATACATCAAGAATCAGCGTATGAATCACTACAATGGTGATCAACTACTATAAAGTCACATAAAGGCTTTGTTGATTGTCACCATTGTTGAGATTCATATGTTGATTATTGATGTCATACTCATAAAAAAATAAACCAGTTCAAACATTTTCTTTATAATAGATATTTTTCATAAATTTCAGATTGGAATAATCTTGTTTCAACATATCATGTTGATGGGGAAAAGTATGACAATCATAACCTTAATTTAAAACTTAAGCACGTCTATTTATAATTTAATCTCAACAGATACACTCAAGTACTTTACTGTCATATCAGTGAATCAGGTCACCATATGATGACTATAACATCACCAATAAATGACCAACATCAGCTGATATTTTCTCCTGCTTTAATTGCTATAAATAATGTATATTGAATACACAGTTAAAGCAGCCAGAGAAAAACTAATGGTATAAATTAAAGGTCAAGAGCCCAACTAAAGCAAACACTGATCTCAATCATGGTGACATCAAATTTCTGTTAAAGTTTTTTGCACTTTATTTAAATTAACACATTTTACTTTAATTTAATGGTTTTTGTTTGGCAGCCTTTGCTGCCAATCATTTGACCCTTTTTTTTACGATTTTTTTACAATGAAGGTATTTGATCATAATAATTCAGGAAATACCTGTAAATAACAGTGTTTTTCAGTTTATTTAATTGATGATGTTTTACTTAAATGTTACAGTTTTTTTGGGCTGCCAGTCATGTAATCATTTAACTGTTTTGTTACCGTTTAATTACAGATTATATTTGTAATTTTACATACATTTTTTTTAATTTAAGAAAATAGAAAAATATTGTATGAAAAATACAATCAATGTTCTGTAAAAAAAATGTGAATGACTGGAATTTGTCATTAATGTCACAATACCTAAAATATCAGCTGCATTTTTATTTTACAGATATTATTTGTAATTTTACAGTGTTTTGAGTACAATTTAAAATGAAAGAAAATGATCGTCAAAAAATCAGTTATTTTCTGTGATATTAGGATTTTTTTTTACAGTGTAGTTCATACTAATTTACATGTGTGTTTAGTTATATTTTGTTGATTCTGTTATTTCAGGCATCAACAACGTTTTTCTTGTGTGCTACAAGAAGCCCTTCAACTGTATATAATATGCAGGTAAATTAGTTTAATTTCTTGTAACAATTCGTATGACAATCTTTCTTCTGTGGAACACACACACACACACAAATATATATATATATATATTAGGGCTGTCAAAAGATTATTAATCACATCCAAAATAAAAGTTTGTGTTTACATACTATATGTGTGTGTGTGTGTAATTATTTTGTATATAAATGCACACATGTATATATTTCAGAAAAATATGTTATTTATATATAAAATGTTTATATTTATATAAAATATACATTATATATAGGCTACATTCAGTCTATATACAATATATACATGCAAATATTTCTTAAATACACATGCATGTGTGGGTATTTATGTATTAAAAATAATTATACACAGTACACACACATATATTATGTAAACACAAACTTTTATTTTGGATGCAATTAATCGTGATTAATTGTTTGACAGCCCTAATATATATATATTTAAATCTTTAAATGTTTTAAAGTCAATTGAGTCTAATGTTGTTTGGACTGTCAGCTTGAACTCTTTCTCATTTGTTTAATTTGGGTCCATTGAAAGTAAACGGGTAAAGTAGTGTTTCAAATGTCACTGTCTGTATTTGAGTAGTTGTATGTTATATTTTATATTATATTATACTATAATTATGTTGTACTATAATTTTATATAATACTATAATATATTATAATATATCACTATACTCTGCCAATTCAGGTGATGTGCAATATATAATTAATATGTTCACACATCAATTTCTTTTAGGAAAAAACATTTTACTTTTACTGTAAAAACAGGTTTTAGTTATGTTAATATTTTTCAAAGAAAATACATTCTGTCACGTTCGGAGTTTGGTTGGTAATCATGTATGACATCAATTTCTACCTAATTTCTAGTTAACCTGATTAACAATGATGTTTTGATGCAATGCCATGTTTTAATTTATTTATTTTTTTAACCAGAAAGGTTCCTTATTCCATTATGGAAGCCTCAAGACATTTGGAGGTTAGTATCAAATCAAAGGTCAACATACATATATTTTATGTTTATTCTGGCATTTCACAACATGCCATGTATTTGTTGCAGAAAGTGCATTAGTTTGTACACCAAGAATAACTATAACCAATCACCTTTATCAAATGTAGGATTGTGAATATAAAATTTATTGAGCCAGTTACTAGTTCTGACTCTGAATGAGATTCACATTTTTACTTACCCTGCCAAAATGTTCATTGGTCTCGCCAAAAAAAAAAAGTTCATAATGTGTTCACTTTACTATTTCCCCGCCATTGATTAAATTGTCCGGCTTTCAGTGTTTTCACTGTTATACGGAGGGGGACGCTATGACACATCTTCTAAAAGAGTACTGAATCTACTGATCAAACACATGCGAAGAAGACTCTGAAACAAGCGATATCGTATGTATATGCACATTTAAAAAACACTATCACCAACATTTAACAGCATATAAATCAAAACTGCCTAATGTTACTGAATGAAATGTCGACCCAGGACGAACTATAGGACTTTGCAAGCATTAGGGGTGTTAATGGACTCAATCTACTACACCTATGTTTTGATCATCGCTCTGAATCCAATCTGGATTTAGTCTTTGACAAAAACATTTGTTTTCTCAGCTATTTGCTCAAAATGTTGCTTTTTTAATGAAACTTATCCACATTCAGGTGTTGATAAAATAAATAAAAATAAACTAGAATAAAACGTTTAAAAAAAATAAAAAAATAATATATATATATATATATATATATATATATATATATATGTAAGCAGAGGATCTATTTTTTTTATCTTTTGACATATTGCATGTTCAGATATTCATACAACAAAATATTGTGGAGGCCATCAAATTTGAGCTGATTGTCAATTCATAATTCAAATCTAGAAAATGTTTCAGGAATGCATAGATGTAAATGTAATTGAAAACAGAATATATTTTCCTCTGAATACTTAATTATTGAAAATAAATAACTGGCTATTGTTACCAAAATCTTTGAATTGCCTTAACACAGACTTTAATAATTGATTTACTGAATCATTCATTCAACCGATTTGATCAAATCGGCAGATTCATTTAGGAACAAAGCAAGTGACTGTTCCCTATCAGTCAGTCACGTTTGATGTTAAGTCAGAAGTGAACTGACGAATTGGGATCTCGCCTGAGAGCCCAATCACATTCGAGTGTAAACAAAACAAGCCAATGGACATTGCCAAAGCGGGTAAGGAAGAGTGCTGCACTCGCTCATTTAAGCTTTCGCTTCGGAGCTGAGCGTTTCATCGAATCTGCTTTGCAATCATCTGTACGAGTTTTCTACAAACCCGGAAGAAGCTCTCCAGAGAGTGTTGGTGTGACAGCGCGTCAACGGTGGTCACCACTTAAAAAGCATTTCCTCTGGATTCATTGCCGTCTAAAAGAGTATTTTGCACACAACTGCTATCAACAGTATTGCACGCTGTGCAGCGACCATTTCCCTTTGTGCTTCAGCACTAAAAAGCTTTACTCTAAAAGAGCAAGCACAAGTTTCTAGATGCGGTCGTTTCCTGTCTTTTTCTGACAGTCATGATCGCTGCCTTACGTGTCTGGGCCAAAAGCACGATGAGGTGGCGTTCATGGATGAGTCATGCACCCACTGCGGGAAGATGACTATCTAGATGCTGCGGTCGAGACTCTGCTATGCCCTGATCTAGTTCCTCTGCCCAGCAGAGGGCTACTTTGGTGAATACACAGGATGAACCGAGGATCACAGTGGCGGCCCTGTCGCCGAGCGTCTTTCGACTCCACTCCAGCACGGCCTTAGCAGCAGCCTCCACCTAGGCCGCAGCGTGGAGCTGGCCGCAGGAAAGCGGCTCAGCCCATCCCAGCCCCTGCCAGGCCCTCCAAGCATCAGCCAAAGCAACATACCTGAGATGGGTGACCCAGAGACGGAGGAGACAGCTCTTCGGGAGATGGTGAATGCATTACTCCTTCCCCTGGAGTAGGCCTGGGAAGAGAATCTTTTTCTGAGTCAAATTTCTGTTACGCCACTTGTGTCACAGCCAGTGGTACCCAAATTCTCAATAAAAGAGAAGAGAAGATTTATGAAGACGGGGTATTACAGCCCATACATCATTTTACCCAATAAAGGCGATGGGTTATGGCCAATCTTGGATCTGCGTGTCTTGAATCAGGCCCTTCACAAGCTCCCGTTCAAGATGTTAATGCAGAGACGCATCTTCAAATGCATTAGTCCCTAAGATTGGTTTGCAGCGATTGACCTGAAGGACGTGTGCTTTCATGTCTTGATTCTCTCTCGACACAGGCCATTCCTACTCTTTGCTTTCAAGGGTCAGGCACATCAGTACGAGGTCCTTCCCTTTGTGCTGTCCCTGTCGTCTCGCGTCTTCACGAAGGTCGCAGAGGCAGCGGTGGCCCTTGCCTCTCTGAGGGAGCACGGGGTTTGCATTCTCAACTACCTCCACGACTGGCTCATCCTGACCCACTCACAAGAGCAGTTGTGCAAACACGGGGATTTGGTGCTCAGCGATATGGGGCTTCGGGCCAACTGGGAAAAGAGCAAACTCTCTCCCGTGCCGAGAATCTCTTTTCTCTGAATGGAGTTGGACTCAGGCAACACGCTGGATTTGTTGATCACCAATTCCACCATCAATCCAGTCGCCCTGACTACCGACCTCCGTCTTCTCTCCGCTGCTAATCCCCTTTCAGTCATTGAATCTGTGGATCTTTACAATTCATCACTTAGCACCCTCCTGGACCGTCATGCCCCAGTCAAGTCCAGAACCGTCACCTTCAAACACTCAGCCCCCTGGTACACCAGGGAGCTGCGGCTGCAGAAGAGAATAGGGCGTGTCCTTGAACGGCGTTTCAAGGACTCAGGGCTTGCTGTTCACAAGTTAGCGTACCGGGAACATCAGAGGGCCTACAGCAAGTCCCTCAGTGACACCCGGTCCCGGTTCTACTCCCATATAATCAACAATAGCCCTGGTAACTCCAAGCAATTTTTCTCAACCATAAATCATCTCCTCAAACCTCAGATCCCCCTACACTCAGAGAACATGCAGGAGCATTGCAACACCTTCATCTCATCAAAAGATCCGTTCCCTTCTCTCAGAGGGGCCTCTGTAATATCTTTCCATTGCTACGCTGATGACACCCAAATTTACATCAAAACAAATCCTAACCCCTCTGCAGCCCCTTTCACACTTTCAACCTGCCTGGAGGAGGTAAAGACGTGGATGGCGGCTAACTTTCTGCAACTCAATAGCTTAAAAACGGAAGCCATTCTTTTTGGCACTCCGCACCAGACCCGGTCATCCACCATCACCAGCATCACCTTCTCTGGTCATGATATCCACCTCTCACCCTCAGTCACAAACCTTGGTGTTAGAATGGACCCTCACTTGACCTTTGAGGCCCACATTAAACATCTTTGTAAAACCTCTTTCTTTCATCTCAGGAACATTGCAAAACTCCGTCCAATGCTCACTTTCCCCGATGCCAAAAAACTTGTCCATGCCTTTATTTCCTCCAGGCTGGATTATTGCAATGCACTCCTCATCGAGATCCCAAGCAAGAACATCAAACAGCTGCAGTACATCCAGAACTGTGCGGCTAGCATCCTGATGGGCGTGCGGAAGTACCACCATATTACACCCATCCTTAAATCGCTCCATTGGCTTCCTGTCCAGTACAGGATTGAATTCAAAGTTTCCCTTATGTCCCATCAGTGGCTCCATGGCACTGCTCCACCATATCGCAAACAACTCATCACCCCCCTTTCCTCATTACGCCATCTCCGCTCTGGACAGGCCAATCTCCTTCAGCCTTTGAGGACAAGGCTTCGTACTATGGGTGACCGTGCCTTCTGTTCAGTTCCACCCAGTCTGTGGAATGCTCTCCCTGTCCATCTAAGGAACCCACAGACTGTGGACTCTTTTAAAAAAGGCCTTAAAACCCATCTTTTTAGAAAAGCCTTTTATGGCTAAAAATGTTATTTTAATGTTTCTGTTTTTATTCTGTTTTATATTGTAGCACTTTGATGTCATTGAATTGATGTAAAGTGCGTTATAAATTAAATGTGTTATTATTATTATTATTATGCACAAACAGAAGAGAAATTAGCATATCAGTACGCTACAACATAGCACGTTACCAATAACACGAATCAAGTGTGCTTATAACAAAAATATAGCCATAATCTCTATCTAATTATTCTTAAACTCTTTAAATCACTAGTATTAGTGTCAAAATTGCACTTACAGACATATATTTCCAAGGTTTAAACGATGGAATCAATAGCCAATAGAAACCGCATGCACGTTGTTCTTGACTGCGTTCACTGAGGGAAACCGAAAGTAAACTATATAAATATAGTGCAGTACCTTAAATGTCCAGTGGGAGGCGGAAACACAGCTAGACATAAGCAACAGCACATGTGGCGTTTTGGTAGGATCCCAATTCGGAAGTTCACTCTTGACGTAAAGTCGAACGTGACTGACGGAACATCTATGTTACTAATGTAACCCCCGTTCCCTGATCGAGGGAACAGAGACCTTACGTCTCGTCACCACAATTGCTGTACCACCGCTGAACGTCTCGGCCCTGAAGCCCAAAACTTAAACGAGCAAGTACAGCACGTTTTCTACACTCACCGGCCACTTTATTAGGTACACCTGTCCAACTGCTCGTTAACACTTAATTTCTAAGCAGCCAATCACATGGCGGCAACTCAGTGCATTTAGGCATGTAGACATGGTCAAGACAATCTCCTGCAGTTCAAACCGAGCATCAGTATGGGGAAGAAAGTTGATTTGAGTGACTTTGAACGTGGCATGATTGTTGGTGCCAGAAGGGCTGGTCTGAGTTTTTCAGAAACTGCTAATCTACTGGGATTTTCACGCACAACCATCTCTAGGGTTTACAGAGAATGGTCCGAAAAAGAAAAAACATCCAGTGAGCGGTAGTTCTGTGGGCGGAAATGCCTTGTTGATGCCAGAGGTCAGAGGAGAATGGCCAGACTGGTTCGAGCTGATAGAAGGGCAACAGTGACTGAAATAACCACTCGTTACAACCGAGGTATGCAGCAAAGCATTTGTGAAGCCACAACACGCACAACCTTGAGGCGGATGGGCTACAACAGCAGAAGACTCCACCGGGTACCACTCATCTCCACTACAAATAGGAAAAAGAGGCTACAATTTGCAAGAGCTCACCAAAATTGAACAGTTGAAGACTGGAAAAATGTTGCCTGGTCTGATGAGTCTCGATTTCTGTTGAGACATTCAGATGTTAGAGTCAGAATTTGGCGTAAACAGAATGAGAACATGGAACCATCATGCCTTGTTACCACTGTGCAGGCTGGTGGTGTAATGGTGTGGGGGATGTTTTCCTGGCACACTTTAGGCCCCTTAGTGCCAATTGGGCATCGTTTAAATGCCACGGCCTACCTGAGCATTGTTTCAGACCATGTCCATCCCTTTATGGCCACCATGTACCCATCCTCTGATGGCTACTTCCACCATGTCACAAAGCTCTAATCATTTCAAATTGGTTTCTTGAACATGACAATGAGTTCACTGTACTAAAATGGCCTCCACAGTCACCAGATCTCAACCCAATAGAGCATCTTTGGGATGTGGTGGAACGGGAGATTCGCATCATGGATGTGCAGCCGACAAATCTGCGGCAACTGTGTGATGCCATCATGTCAATATGGACCAAACTCCCTGAGGAATGCTTCCAGCACCTTGTTGAATCTATGCCACGAAGAATTGAGGCAGTTCTGAAGGCAAAAGGGGGTCCAACCCGTTACTAGCATGGGGTACCTAATAAAGTGGCCGGTGAGTGTATATATACCCGCATCGCAGGAAGTGATTTGCGATGGAAATCTCTCTCCCCAATGTCCATTGGCTTGTTTTGTTTACACTCGAAGGTGTTACATTAGTAACTTAAATGGTTTTATGAATGGCTCATTGAATCATTAACTCACCCGAATCATTCAAAAACACAGAAACATTGGCGAAATAGATTAAATGTAATTTAATTTTTACTTTTTGTTTATTAAACTGTTGTATGAAATCAATACCATTTGCAATCATGCTGATATTCGGAAAAACAGCACTCTTCCACGTCATGTTGCGAAACTAATGTTAAATATAAAAATCAAGAACTCACAGAGGAGATTTTTTTTTGCCCCATATCTTGAAATTTGAAAACTCTGACTGAAGCACAGTGTATATTTTAAAACATGTTATTAATTTATAATGTTAAAATCATATTATAAGGATTTGAATGATGAAGAACCAAGTGCAGAAGCTGTTATGTTGATGAATGGAATTAATTCATCATTGCATTCATCATCATAAAGATATTATGATATTGAAAAATGATGTTTGAGCTGTTAATTTTTAATGATTCTTTTCAGTCTCTCTCTTCTGATAAAGTGCAGCATGAACAACAAGCAACGTCTCTGGAATCAAATGTGTGTTTGAACTAAGAGTTGGAAAACACTCAATAAGGTACAAATTCTACATTACTGCACAGGGAAAAGACTCTCTTGTAATGTTCAAATGAATGTTTTATATAGTGTAACTGCAGCACATACAACATTAGATATGGTTCTACTGTATTGAAGTCTGTGTACAGAAAACCGTAAAAACAATTTGGGAAGTAGTTAAACCATGTGTGAGCAAAGTCAGTAAGTTTAAGTCCAATGAAATAACATTAACTAACATTTTTGGGGAAATGGTTGTTTTACAATATGCCTGTTTGCTAATGTTGATTTTCTTTCAGAATAATAAGGAGATGGCTGTTTCATCTGAACTTCCAGTGGACATCAATGACTGGAATAAAGACCATGTGAAACAATGGATGCTTGATATAAAAGTGGACAAAGAAGATGCAGAGATTTTGTACAACCAGAGAATTAATGGAGCTGGTCTTCTCCTCTTGGAGGAAGCTGATCTCTCTTGCATGCAAAGCCTATCACTGAATGCCAAAAAAATAATTATGCACAAAATAGGTCTTTTGAAACAAAAGACTCAGCAGCAGAATAATGTGACGACTCAGTCTTATAGCTTGAAGCCTTACCCTTTCAATAGATTTAATGCTGCTCACAGGTACAGAGAAAACAGCAATCTAGACGTAACTGAAACGGGTCCTATAGACCTCATACAACCATGCCATGAATTCAAAGGATTTATCAACACAACGGAGGAGAATAGAATGAAAAAATACACATATGAGGTGATTCGATTTGCAGCAGCTTGTATGAACAGCCGTACAAATGGCACTATTCATTTTGGAGTGGCAGACAAACCACATGGACACATTCAGGGTATTAGTGTTCAGAGCACAGATGATTTTGATGTAAAACAGTCACATGCAATTGAAAAACATTTCAAATGGGAAAGGTCTGTTAAAATAGCAAAAAGCTGCATTAAACCCCCTCGATTTGTTGAAGTTCTCAAAGCTGACATGACTTCTGCAGGAAAACGTGTTATTGAGGTAGACATAGAGCCGTCCTCCATAGTCTGTGAAGAATTTCACTTTAACACTTATAATGTTGATAAAAATGAAGACAAGATGCAAGAGCCCAACGGTGCAGAGATGAGAGAGAGGAAGCAGAATGATGGCAAGTCTTTCTTCATAAGAGACGGCAGCAGCAGCGATAATCTTATTACAGCTAATTCTTCAAAGGAGTATGAGAAATATACTGCTGCTGCAAACATGCAACGTTTGTCCCAGCTGAGGAAGGACGCTGAAGAAAAGCATCTCTCTGTTGTCAAAGAAAGTGTGCAAGGCTCTAAACTGTGTGAGATGATAACAGGAGGGACCCATTCTTTAGACAGGTCACACTTTGCATGGTACATTTTGGTGGCTAACAAATCTCATCCTGTTCAGCTGGAAAACCTGGATTTCCTTCTTCACATGGATCTAGTGGCTGTTCTGGATTTTGATCCAGAATCTGCTCAGAGTGGCCTGAATAAGCTACTTAAAGAGAGAAAAACATCCAATCCTCATTTACCAGCTCAGTATAAAGTTACGGGTGCAGTTGAAGACATTTTAAACAAGTTAAAGCTGACCAAAAACACAAGCTGGGTTTTCTGTAATGGAGGCATTAATGAGGAAAACCCCTCTGATGTTGATAACTGGTTGACTGAGAAGGGATCTTCAGTGCGTGATGTTGTTTCTTTCCTGTGCAGAAAAGATTTGGTGCATCGCAAGCAACTTCTCACCATATTCTTGCTGTTAAGTCAGGTGAGCGACGCCAACGACTCTTTGCTTGAGACATTCGGTATGTTTTTACAGGAGCTCAATGGTGGAAACCAAATCTTGTGCATCAGTGATAATGAAACAACATACACCTACTGGAAGGATCTCATTAAGGGCCGATATAAAGCTGACATCTCTACAAGATGCATTTATGAGCTAAGTTTTGCTGAGGTCAATGGCACCATCCTCAGTCTGTGGTCAGAGAATCGCAAATCAAGCCGGTTTCTGCCTTGTGGTGGTGGCAGTAATGTTGTACTATCAAAGAAAACTGAGCAATCCCTAGAAACGCTGAGTGTTCTTTGTGTGAATCAGTGTGACGGAGGCGATGAAGACAAACAAAAACATGAGGAGTTCTTCTATAAGGGAGGAAAGGTGTCTTGGTGGAACTTCTTCTTCTCAGAACAGCCCGGATCAATGCCATTCATCAAACGTGACAAGTTTGACTACATAATCAACACTATTATTCCAGACATATGCAGCCGGAAGAGAGCTTGTGAGTTTTTCAACATCCTCCATCTTCCAGGCTGCGGTGGCACTACGTTAGCCATGCATGTCTTATGGACACTGAAGGATAAATACCGGTGTGCAGTGCTGAAGGAAACAACACATGATTATTCTACCGTAGCCGAACAGGTTGTGCAGCTACTAACATATGAGACAAAAGAGCAACCTACACGACTTCCTGTATTAATCATGATCGATGACTTCCAAGACATCTGCGATGTAAAAAAACTCCAACTTCAAATTGAGGAGGAGTGCTTGAAGCGAAACATTTTTTCCAAGTCTCCACAAGTCATTATAGTCAACTGCATGAGAGCTGAATCCTGGGAACAGACTGATGATGCTGTTTTCATTGGAAACCGTTTATCTGAGAAGGAACAGGAACTGTTTAAAGAAAAGCTGAAGGAGTTTAAGAAAACCAACACAAACACTAAAACGTTTTATGGGTTCATGATTCTGAAGAACAATTTTTCACTTCACTATATTCAGCGTGTTGTAAAAAATACCCTTAAGGGCTTCAACTTCCAAGACAAACATTCTCAACTTTTTGCAGTTCTTGTCCTCCTGCATGTCTACTGCAAGAATGCATTGCTGTCAGTCTCTACATGTGAAGAGTTCCTTGGTCTGCAAACTAAAGCAAAGTTTGAAGTAGAAGATGGATTTGAGAAGTTTTCCACTCTTTTAATAAGAGGCACAGCCTATTCCAACATTACCTTTGAGGGTGTGAGAGTGATTCACTCAAGTATAGCTCAACACTGTTTGAAAGAGCTGTCGACTTTGTCATACAAAGTGACAAAGGCAGAAATTACTAACCTTCTGCTCACAACAGACTTATTTTATGAGTACGCTCTAGGGAAACAAAAATTAATGCAGGATGTTCACAGCATGTTGGTGAAGAGGCAGTATTCGGCTAAGGCTGAAGACTCCCTTTTTTCTCCTCTTATCAAAGATATAATGAAAGAGACGCCAGGGATGGAAGAAATTGTTCTACACAATGCAGCAAAGTGTCTCAGAAAGGATGCAGTAATATTCCAGCTCCTCGCCAGGTACTACATAAAAAAACAGGACTTTACTGTGGCCATGAGTTGGGCAAGTGAAGCCAAAAACCTTTCAAAGGAGAATTCATACATATGTGATACAGTATCACAGGTACTTGTGCGTGAGCTCAAGCATGCTGTTCACAAAGACAGAGATGATCCCATCAAGCCGGACAGTCTTGATAGGTTTCTTACAGTGGCTGAGTCTGCAGCAGAAGCTTGCAAAGAAACACAACACACTGCAAACAAAGAGGCCGTTTCTCACCTGCAAAGACTAAAGGATTATAGTACTTACAACACTGCTGGCCATCTTGGTGAACTTCAAACTGCAGTTACCGTCATACAAATACTGCAAAAGACACCACTGTTTAACTGCCTTGCTGAAGTCCTCTTGGGTAAAATTACCATTGAAGAATTAAGGATGAACCCTGAACTCAAGCAATATTACCATGTATTGCAGAAGCATAAGAAATGTCTTCTTCAACTAAAAAACACAATGAAGGGTCATTTTGATTTCCTTGACAATTTTTTTGTACATTTAGTACCCTTTTTCTCGGAGAAAGACAAACAAAAAGAACTGATAAAGCCCAAGGTTTCCAGGTACTTTCAACAGTACACTGACCTCTTTTGTAAGATAAATTGGAGTGAGCTGATCAAGAATGAGCGCATGAACCGCATGGTTAAAATTGAGCAGACACGTGAATGTCTGGAGAGGAACAAGGGTGATTCCTATACAGGACTTCTACGATATTTGTATGAGGAAGACTCTGCATCAACTCTTGAAGAGATCATCCAGCAGTATCATTTCATTCTGAAGTCAAAAGTGGCCAGACTGATGGACATTGTCAACTTTATCTATGCCAATGTAATTCTGGCAAACATCAACCCTGAATCTCAGTACATCATGCCCCACCATGACCTTCGAGAATTATGCCTTCAAATAATCAAACGCCCCTCACCCCTCAGTGAGATTCTGCCATTGCACTACATCACAGTTTTATTGTTCTGGCAAGAGGCTGACCGCACATTACCAACTTCACAAATGAAGACGTTGTACTCAACCTACCTGAAACCTGTGTCTAATGGAAAGAGAGCAGCGGTTCATTTTTACCTAGGGAAGGATGAAGGTTATGGTGGCCTGATTTCCCACAGGGATATAAACAGCTGGTTAGGATCAGGGCAGAACATCTCAACTCAATGGGATGATTACAAAATTTGGAGGCAAGTGAGGAATAGTAATAAACTTCACAGAGTTTCTGGTGAAATTCGCAACAATTTGATCTCGGTTGCAGATGTGAATGTTATGGTTGATCCAATGTTCAGAAGCCAGTTAAATAAAGAATATGGCACACGAGTGACTTTCTTCCTTGGATTCTCAATCAATGGACCAGTTGCACTTGACATAGACTTTGAGTCATAAAGTGCAGAAGCCTGATCTAATGTAGACTGAATGTCTGACTGAAGACATGAGAATCATGAAAGAGAAAACCTTCTAGATTTCCAGTTCAAAATATTACGATAATCCAGTCGATGGAGCTCTTGGACCAAAGCCTGTAGTTGCTCCTATAAATTATTTTGGTTTGCTTTATCATATGTGATCTATCTAAGCCATCTTTTAATCATTAATGTTGCATGTTTTGGGGCTTTGTTTAGCAGAAATGCCTAATTGTGTTTAATGTGAATTCTGTAAAAGCAATGGTGTGATTATGTTATGACTGATGACTGAGAGTCTGACCAACGCCAACAATGCACTGACTTCCAGAGAGCACACATGTACCTCTGTTGTTCTTTTATAATTTATATTACATTGTGTTTATTTCTTATTCTTTACATACATTTTACATTCATCTTACTGCATTGTATTCATACATTGATATGCATATAGATGTACTCATTTATCATTATTTCATTATATTTGATTTACTTTTATTTTACTTCAATTTTCACTCTAATCAAAGATTTTGTAAAACGAATGCCCAATTTTAATATGAGGGGTTTTCCATATTTTTTTAGATGTATTTTGAATTTATCCTTTGCATTTTGTTGTGTTTTAGGGTTAAAGTAAAATGTCATTGACATTATATTTTTCTACTGATTTTTACATTTGATTCTTAACAAATCTTGCTTTTGCTGTAACCATCTGTCTTTATTCAAGGTCTTCAAGGCCACAAGTCACTGTTAAGAGTAATACATTTCCATTCCCTTTACTTGTGATCATAATACTTCTTTCATATGTTTCTGTTAAGACCAAGGGTTATCCAATAAACTTATTTCTTATCACTTCCTTTCCTGGCTCCTGCATTCCTCACTGCATCTAGTCATGTCAAGTCTGGATATGTGTATTTCTTTTCAGAATTATTTCAAAGCAGCTTTACACAAAAAAAATGTTTTTAGAGTGTACAAATCCTAGTTAAAATTCTCTAAAATTGTCTGTATTTGCATTGCTTTGTCCAGTATCATATACTCAACACAGTTTACCTGACTCTATCAGCAAGAAAATTATTATTAAAACTTAGAAAACTCATTACCTATATAAAATAATTTAATAAAAATGAGAATAATGGTTCCTCATTTGCAGTATAGCGAAGATAGTTGTATGTGTACTGGTTTGACTTACATATGGAGTAGTCCATTTATTTCCCATATCAGTATCAGGATGTCCTGTCCCCATAATGATCCCTACTGCTAAACACTATACAACTCTGTGAAGAGTGAAGGCATCCCAACTCCGAGGTTTGTGACCCATGATGATTTAGGGACATCGGACTTCAGTCAGCATTGCCTACACACTTCTAAATCCCCTCTGATGCGCATCATTTAGTAGCAGTCAGGGTCGTTTTTTTTTAGTGTAGCCTATATAAATAAAGTTGTGAAATAATTCCCTAATATTAACTCTAATTTGGTGCTGCAATGATTCGCCCATCGCGACGATAACTGGCCTCCTCATCTGAGCTGCTTCAGCACTCAAAACACCTAACCTGACTCCGCCAGATGGATTTGCTCCGCATATCCATCTGGAAACCTTCCGTTGAAGTAGTTTTGGTAAGGGGCGAAAATACTGGTTAGCTGATTGGCCTATGTTGGTGATAGACGGGCCAAATCAACCAATCAGATCAACGAAGCATATGACGTACTAACAGAGCGTATCTTTTCCTCTGAGTAAAGCCTCCAGAGCAGTGTTTTGCTCTTCTTTCAGTGAAGAAATACTCTGTAATTCCGATAAAACTTGCTCGATAGCCACGCTGATGCTAGTTTCATCCGCTGAAGCCGACATGTTCTTTAGACTGAACTGTCGCGCTTCTCGTTGCGTCACACCTCAACCCGCCTCAAAGCCAACGCTGATTGGACGTTCGTTTGGTGAACTGCTCCCAAATTTTCTTTAACGGAAAGTATCCAGACTGATCTGCGAGTGAAACCTTGAAAGCTCGCGAGATCAGGATGGTCTCACGAGGCTACAAAACACCCGCTCGTCAAAGTCTAATGCTGCGTCCCAATTCGCATACTATCCGTCCTAAATAGTATTCGAAAATAGAATTAGTACGTCCCAAATCGCAGTATGTTGAAATGAGTGTCCCAAAGAGACCCGGATGGCCTACTATATCCGGTCAGAATCCGAAGTGCAGATCGATGCGCACTCTAACGGCTGATATTGCCCACAACCCATCGCGCGTTGGACGAGGATTCGGTTAGAACTACAAACACGAATGAAAAGTGTTCAAAAACTACAGACATGGAGGACGCGCGAGTCCGACGGTTATGTAGAGAGGTTTAGATAAAGGGGTTTGAGTTATTAATTATCAGTATCTAACCTGACGAAAATGTATTTATTCGATGTTGTCCACATTATATTGCATCTGCAGCAGCATTGTGAACTTTTGCAATGATACGTTTAGCCATTAAAGTCCCTGTAAAGTCAAAATTAAGTATGTGTTTTGAGTTTGTCACACCACAGAAAAATGTGTTATTAGTCACCCAGCCAAATTTGAATGATAAAAAAAGCCAGCAAGTACATAAAATAAGCTATCAAAATCTTGAAAAAATGAGCAGTAATCTCTGCTCTCAAACGCTGGGGGCGTGTCCACTGGCTGCGCTGAAACCACGCCCACTCGCGGGAAAGCTGCCGTCGTCGACTCGCCTCACTCAACTCTACAGCCGGAATGGATGCACGCACTGCCGAACGGCGCGACGGGAGGATGAAGGCTGAGGCGGGAGTCGGTTCGGCCCCATTCACCAGTAACAGCGGATTATCAGTGAATCCCAGACAGTTATCTCCGACGAAAGTTTATAAAACTATCCAGTGTAAAATGATCACTTACAGAGGCGGGTTTTGGCGGTGATCCTCAGCTCTCCATCAAGGTGGCTCTTCACAAAATTAATCCACTTCTTCTTGATGTAATCGTTTTTCGGAAATTTAAACAAGGACACCGATCTGTTTTGTACGTGATCCGGTGATCGCATCCAGGTAGTAGCCTACGCATTTCCGTGACGAAGGCATAGCTAGTAGCTAGCAATCTGTAGGCTGTTACTAATAATAGTACTGACAGTAACTCGCGATTGAGCGGCAAACTGATGTGAATGTGCTCTATAATATTGTTAGGAGCGGCCAGCCTCAGTGGCCTCAGAGCGTCATCAAGTAGGGGCGTGTCCAGGAGCTCAAGGGCTCCAGTGCGTCATCGAGTCCTGTTTTAGCCCCGCCCAGAAAATCCGTAAAATATCAATGGTGAAAAACTGTTTAACGGTCTAACTCCACAATTCAGTACTTCACAGTTCACAGTCTTTGTAATATGTTTTAGCAATACATTTCTAACATTTATAATGTGTTTAGAATTATTTTTTTAAATTGCCTTTACAGGGACTTTAACTTTTAAATGCCTTATATTCAAATTCCAAACACATGAGGAGAGTCTCCGCATGAAAGATCCATGACTGGCAGATGAACTATGAAGGTATTTTTGGTGCAAAACAACTGAACGCCTGTGACAGTGGATTTTGTAGTTGTAGAGAATAGCCACACATGTGTATCAGTAAATGTGAAGTCACAGAGATAAATTTTTTAAGAGTTGCACACTTGTAGACTTTTTTTTATCTTCCACAAACACAACACAACAGTTACACCTTCTCAAATTCTTCACTGCAGGTGCACAAATTCTATTCTATAAATCACAAATTAAGAAACTCGTACGCTCACATTTTTGCTACAGTTGCTGCAGTGAATATGGTGCAAAACGCATTTACACACCCGCATCAAAAAATTTGAAGTCACAGAGAACTTTTGCTCATCTGCAAATCAGTATGTGAATTCATCCAATGAGAGTTGCACACTTGTAGAATCTTTTCTCACAAAGGTCTTGTATATTTTTCTAGCACAAACACAAGTACATAACTACAGCTGCTTGAATCTGCTGCAACGAATCACAAGCTCTGTTTTTCACTTTCAAGTGACAAGTTTCGTACGCTCCGCCTTTTGCACCAAGTGCACCGTGAAATGTGGTGCAAAAGTGAGTTGTGCATCTGTAGAGGCAGTGGGCGGAGCCTATATTAATATTCATGAGTTTCCCGGGCATGCGCGTGGAACTGCTCATTCTAGTTCACGCTCCTCGTTTCTCAGCAGGTTTAATGGATTACTTCAAAAAAGGTAAATATAGTTTCAGCGCAAAATTAAACTACACTTGTGTATCATTTCATTCATAATGTTTTTATTAGTTTGCACGTTTTGTGCATAATTAATGACTAAATGATTGCTGGCATTCATAGTAGCCTATAGGCTATAAAGCACAGCAAACTTCAACTCATTCATTTAGTTGTGCTTTTCCTTTGTACATTGCAATGCTTTAAACTGCCTTTTGTTATCATTTGTTGAATGTTACTGCAATACAAAAATAATACTAATATTAAATTAAGACATAATATATTTTTTTAACATTAAAATAGAAAACAGTTGATACAAATATTTCACAATATTACTGTTTTTAGATAAATGTACCTTAGAGGTACCTTACCTTAGACCCTTAATACCAAACATTTGAACAGTAGTAGGCTACACACCTTGCAATCAAAACATTCAAAATAATGTAACAATATTATTTTGAATGTTTTGATTGCAAGGTGTGTAGCCTACTGTTCAAATGTTTGGTATTAAGGCCAGTATGTATGTTTGTAAATATCTTTTTTAGAACATCAAATTAGTGGCTTATCATATTCCGTAAAATAATGTTGTGTTTTTCCCCCTCATTTACAGTAATTTATCCACTTTTGTCCATACAATTTTGTTTAATTAACAGTATTTTTCTCTTAGCCTACTTATATTCTATACCTGTTGAGTTCACATTTTTTAATGAATTTGACTAATAAAAAGTATTTCTTGTGTGCATTGGTGCTTCATTCCTGTCTTTTTAAAATAGTTGAATGAATGAATACTCGCGAGGTGCCTACGATCAGAACCCTAGATCAGAACCGCACGCAGCGTAGAGGAGAATGACAGTCAACTTCTTTGAATATTAATTAAGCATTTTGGGCATGAACATGTAAATAGTAAAACGATTGACATTGAAAAATGACACTGAATGATTACAATATTTAATCCAAATAAATAAATGTTCGTGGTTCGTACTGATGTTATTCATCTGTTCTCACACATTTCAGCGTCGCGGTCACTAGTTTAGACGAACACTGACACCCTGTGGTAAAATAATGGCGTATTTTTAACAGCCCCAGCTTTCTCAGATTGGCTCGGATTGGATTAAACTTCATGTTCCGATTAGTTTTGAAAATTCTGCACACAGTAAACATCAGATCATCCCTTCTTCTGTCAATAAAAAAGTCCAAAATATAAAATATTATTATAGACACTTTTTTTAGTTGGCGTTTGTTCAACTCAATAAATAAAAACATGAACTTAACGAAACGATACACAATTGCAGTTTAAGTTCGCGCTGAAACTATATTTACCTTTTTTGAAATAATCCATTAAACCTGCTGAGAAACGAGGAGCGTGAACTAGAATGAGCAGTTGCACGCGCAAACTCATGAATATTAATGTGGGCTCCGCCCACTGCCTCTACAGATGCACAACTCACTTTTGCACCACATTTCACGGTGCACTTGGTGCAAAAGGCGGAGCGTACGAAACTTGTCACTTGAAAGTGAAAAACAGAGCTTGTGATTCGTTGCAGCAGATTCAAGCAGCTGTAGTTATGTACTTGTGTTTGTGCTAGAAAAATATACAAGACCTTTGTGAGAAAAGATTCTACAAGTGTGCAACTCTCATTGGATGAATTCACATACTGATTTGCAGATGAGCAAAAGTTCTCTGTGACTTCACATGTTTTGATGCAGGTGTGTAAATGCGTTTTGCACCATATTCACTGCAGCAACTGTAGCAAAAATGTGAGCGTACGAGTTTCTTAATTTGTGATTTGTAGAATAGAATTTGTGCACCTGCAATGAAGAATTTGAGAAGGTGTAACTGTTGTGTTGTGTTTGTGGAAGATAAAAAAAAGTCTACAAGTGTGCAACTCTTAAAAAATGTATCTCTGTGACTTCACATTTACTGATACACATGTGTGGCTATTCTCTACAACTACAAAATCCACTGTCACAGGCGTTCAGTTGTTTTGCACCAAAAATACCTTCATAATGAACGTGCGACAACAATTCTCTCCGAAATGGTAAGAAGTTATATTAGATTGAATGGAGGATTTTAACTGTGACGAGATGATTGACAGGGCAGTTTACGGTGATAGGATGCACACGACAGATCTGTCCGTTAAAGATGACGAAGTAGTATGTCCCAAAGCTTGCCTACTCTTTTGCTACACACTCAAAAGTATGTACTTTTTCTTCACAAAAATAGTACATACTTTTAGGGCGTAGTATAAGTAGGCGAATTGGGACGCAGCATAAATGTTTGAGACCAATCGAAGCAACAAAGGGGGATTTTTGTTCACAGGAGCGCGAGCCGAGCGCGAATCCCAACGCGACGCAATTCACTTCAGTTAACGATCATACAGTGCGAGATAAAATGCAAGTAGCATTGACAGTTTGATCAAAGACAGTGGAAATTATAAGCTCAATTTAACAACACAAGCACCCTATTAAATATATTGCCATTATTATTGTATATATTTGTATAACGTTACCTCGAATGTGTTGTTTGTATCACTCCGCTTGTGTTTGCGCAACTTCATTAAGTCAGAAGGTGGCGACACGTGACTATCTTTATGAGTGAGCAATTGAACCATTGATTAAATGAGCAGATTAGTCCAAAAACATTGATTAATTTAGGAAAAGAAAAAGTTGCTGAAACTGATCTTTGATGCTCATACTAATTTATCATATGCCTCTGGACACAGAAGGAGTGCATTGGCGTTTGTTTGAAATGTAACATCTATGCAAAATAATCCTTGAATCATTTCTTATTCAAGGCCATTCCCGTTTTGAATATGTGATTATGCATTGTCAACAATAAGCATAAACATTCTGGATTTCCATTTTGTAGAGTGGATCAGTCATTGCGACATTTAAACTGTTTCTCATGTTTAAGAATCTGATCAAATACTTCATGCTATACTGCCCACGACATGCTTTTAAAGCTACTGTTGTCCATTTTTTTGGCCTTCAAAAAAACTTAAAATGCTCATGTCGAGATCAGGAAAATAAAAAAATTATGGGAACTCTGTATTTATAAAACCCTGTGTACGGCCCTAATATGCAAGAATACTAGTAATTCTATATTCTATTAATTATATTCTATATTATATAGTCTTGCATATTCATATGCAAGACTAGTCTTACATGTTACTGTTTATAACACAGAGCGTTCATCCTTTGCTGGGACGCTTAAAAAAATATTGGGGGAATAAATGAAGAGTAGCCTATACCCACTTCTCCAGGCACCACTACATCACTGGTTGGTACTGTTATTGCACCTGATTCTATTCTATTCTATTCTATTCTATTCTATTCTATTCTGTTCTGTTCTATAAAAATCGCCCAAAGCAACCCATTCGCTATTTAAAAATAATAATAATAATAAAAAAAAACTTTAGATGTACTTTTATTTTGTAATTCTACAAGACTCGTACTGCTAGTGACTTTTATTTTGTAATCTTTAGAGGCGTCTAAATCAAGGACCTCCACACAGGCAGCTGATGATACTGCCGGCAGATACACTATTCATTTAATAAATAAATAAAGCAGTATTTTGTCGCGGCCCACAGGCTCGGATGGAACAGAGGATGCTTATTTTTATCATTCTCAGTTTAATTTGACGAATGTCTGTGGCATCTAAGGGGGAAATGTGTGGATTTATGCAGTCAGAGCTTTAAATGAGGATCATGGCGTTTCCGGAGGGAGAATCACTCGAATCCTGGCTCAGTACGTGCACTATTATCATTTGCATCCAACAATAGATGTAAATAATATTATTGTTGTGTGTGTTCGCTGCAATGCATCAGTACCTGCTCGTCTGACGCGCTTGTTTGCCTTTTTCCGCGAAATTTCGAATCATACTATGACGAAGGTCTGCTCATGAAAATTAATTTTATCATATTGACGTTGCCTGGTAACCTTCCCAGGGCGTCCAATCACAAAGCCTACATAATATGTAAGAGCGAGGACTTCACCATAGTAGGATTCATTAATTCGCCAGCGCCCACTTACCAGCGCCCGCCTTCCAGCCAATCAGATACGGACACTGTACGAACGTCACGCCTCGTAATTAATATTCATGAGCCAAGCCTTTCCTGTAGTATGATTTAAACATTCATATAGAGTGCGTGTTGACTGTCATATCTGGCGATCGTGCGTTCAGATTAAAGTGCAAAGTCTGTGTTTGGCTTCATATAAGATGAGTTCAGACCCAGAGCATTAGGATTTACAGCAGAATTCATTATTAATTATCCATTTAAATGTCGATTTTATTCAGTGTGTCAAATAGTACACTAACCATAATAATACGATGCTTTTTGGATTTACAGCTGGGGTTATTAATTAGCCATTTAACTGATGATTTTATCCAGTGTGACAAATAGAACACTAACCATAATAATACAATGCTGTTTTTGCTCATGCATCATGAACATAGGCTACCATGTAAATGCAATGGTACATAAATATGCTGATATTATACATATATAGCACTTTTCTTTACATTACTGATGGTAATATTGATATGCATCGCTGCGATTGTCCCTCACACTGTTGTGCCAGTGTATCACAGACACAGAGCTCAACGAGGCCGATTGTTTGGACCTTACGAATGTGTGTGTTCTCCACAGACAAAGCCACACACCCCACCAACCGGCAGGAGGACTGGGAATATATTATCGGGTTTTGTGATCAGATCAATAAGGAGTTGGAAGGGTAAGCCTTCGTAATCCAAAATGAATGAAAACTACAGATTCTCTGCTCTTTCTGATTGTGTATGTGTGTGTGTGTGTGTGTTTATAGTCCACAGATAGCTGTGAGACTCCTCGTTCACAAAATCTACTCTCAAGAATGGGAAGCCCTTCAAGCTCTGACTGTGAGTGATGTTGTAATGCTAATCCACCATCACTGCTCGAGCATGAGTCTGTTCATGGATAATATGATGTGTGTGTGTGTCTCTGCAGGTACTGGAGGCGTGTATGAAGAACTGTGGGCGAAGATTTCACAACGAAATAGCCAGATATAGGTTTTTAAATGAGCTGATTAAAGTGGTTTCACCCAGGGTTGGTGGTTTTTCTATTATGAGTTATTTTTGTTGACCCAGATGTTAGCAGCCTGGTTCCCTTGACTAAATCCCAATTGGATTTTTTTCATTGGCTTTTGGGTTATTGCTGAAAATAAGCTCTGAGACCAACAAACGTTTATGATTCTTAAACGTTTTGTTCATCATGTTAATCTTCACAAATTTATGAATTTTGAAGCCTAAAACCAATCAGCAGAAGTCAGATGCTAAGCGTAGGCTATACACGAACTACACCATCATTAAACTCTCAACAACATTCTCCATTAAAGTTTTTAGCTATAATAGTTTGCAAGAGCGTGATTATAAACGCAACGAGGCTTTGAAAGCGACTAGTGAGTAGATTTGACCTAGTTTACCTGTTCGGTGATGATGTTTAATGTTACAGACAACCTCTATATTCCCATTTTTCAAAAGCTTTTAGAAAATCACAAGGGGAATTACTGATGTAGTGGTGTAACAATATATCGTGTGACGTGTCACACAATATATCGCAACACAAACATACATCAATATGTATTGTGGATAGTGACAATATTGTGTATAGTGACAATATTGTGTATAATTCACCCAAAATGACATTTCTTTGTAGGAAAAAAAATCACGTTTTCAGAGTTTTAGTGTCAGTACTACATTAAACTACTGTATATAATGTTGAATATAATGTATAATAATGCAACGGGGGAATATTTTTCGGTCCTGATAATACCAAATGTCTGATGTTACCAGTAAAAAGTGGCCGACATTATTTTAAATATATCTAGTTAGTGAAAGAGTGCAAACATATTGATCTAAAATAATTCAGTATTTTCAGCTTGAGAATCATGAATATTGTTATTCTGGTGTCTCTATTGTCCTGTGCTTTGGGTTTCCAGCACAAGTCAAAGATATTCATTTACACTCGCAATGTAAGGCCAAAATTTAGCATTTTAATCAACAGTGTGTTTTTTTGTTAACCTTTTATCATATGTCTTGAAGTATCGCAATAATATCGCATCGTGAGTTCAGTATCGTGATATGTATTGAATCATGGCATGAGGGTATCGTTACACCCCTGCTGATGTATTTATGTTGTGGAATAAAACGTGAAAATATCTTGAGCTTATGTTCACCACAGACCTTATTTCATGCATTTAACCAAAAACCCATTCAAAAAACCATTTGACATCAGGACGATGGAACCAGAAGTGTAAAAAATGTGATCTTGTTTCCGCTTTCTATGGCTCATTCCTGTGCACTTATATGTCTAATACAAACATGTGTTAAGAGCAGTGTGTGTGTGTGTTGCAGTACATGGGGAACAGTGTTTCTGAGAAGGTGAAGAATAAGATCATTGAGATGCTGTACAGCTGGACGGTGGCGTTTCCCAACGAGTCCAAGATCGCAGACGCGTACCAGGCGCTCAAGAAGCAAGGTGAGATTCTACTCAACTTTATTTCTAGAGCACTTACAAAAACCACAATGGGTAGCAAAATACTGTACATAAAAATGACAAAAAATAAAAAAGTTTACACAATTCTACGGATGGACTTTCTGGGGTCTGTCATGAGCGGTGTGTCTGATTGATGGTGTGTGTGTGTGTGTGTGTGTGTGATGATTTCTTCAGGACTCGTGATGACGGACCCAGAACTGACGGTGGACAAAACCCTGATCCCGTCGCCTCCCGCTCGGCCCAAAAACCCTGTGTTTGACAACGAGGACATGGGGAAGGTGAGACTGAGCCTGATGACATCATTTCCCAAAAACGTATCAAGCCAAGGCACTCGAGAGTTAAAGAAAATGTTTATAAAAGTCTTTATTTCATTATGGCTTAGGCAATTAAAAACTGCACACCGACGCGCTGCGGATAATGTCCTTTTAAGCAGCAATTAGTTAGTCATGTGATCACCAGATTACGTAATATAGAATAGTCACAATAGAGAAGAAATTATTAGACAAATAGCGAAGACATATCTCACCAAAACATAATTAAACCCAACATGTAAAAAATAATAATAATAATAAAATAATATAACAATGCACTAAAGTGTAACAAAACAGAATCAACAATGTAGGCCAGTAACATTTTTTTTAATTTAATTATTACAAGTACAACATCTAAGATATCAAAAATCAGAATCAACAATATATTCTCAGTTCCAAAACTTGGATAAAAAAATTAATAAAATATATATATATATATATTAATATATACAGAACAATATATTCTCAGTTCCAAAACTTGGATTTTAAACAATAAGAATATATATATATATATATATATATATATATATGTGTGTGTGTGTGTATATAAAAATGTATTAAATTATAATTACAAGTACAACATCACATAAGATATCAATAAAATATACAAATCAGAGTCAACAATATATTCTCAGTTCCAAAATTTGGATTTAAAAAAATTATCTAAAATCATATACCCAGAATCAACAATGTATTAACAGTTCAAATGATACAACTAGAAAACAACACCAATCGAGGAAAGTCAAATTACAAATCAGGTAAAAAATCTAATTCTCCATTTAATCCTGGAAATGTGGTTGCTTTCCATGTATATATCGAGAAAGACTCTCTCTGTAGTTGCTGATTACGGTAGGCATCCTTTCCTGTTTCTGCAACATTTGATGTGATTTCCCTTTATGAAACTACAGAAATGACTTTGTGCTCTTCTGTGATTTGATGGCAGTTGTTGGCTGAACTTCTGAGGAGCAAAAACCCAGAAGATCTTCAGGAGGCGAACAGACTCATCAAAAACATGGTGAAAGAGGTGAGAGAGAGACGTGATGCTGTTCTGACAAATAAAGAGCTCCAGTTTACAGCCAACGTGAAACAGCATGTCCTTCTTTACACTGATCAATCGTTCACAACAAAGCCGGAGCTGTTTCTTGAACATCGAGGGTCCAAACCAATTTTTGAATGGTCTTTTTTAATGCAATTAAAGGGTTTAAATGAATTTAAGGGAATAGATAAAAAGAAATAACTATTATTCATTGTAAAATAATGCATTTGAAATATTTGCGAATGATGCGTTTATTTTAAATAAATGACAAAACCTAAAAACACAGTTGAGTTTAAGTCACCGTTTTTGGCTTGTTCTAGCTTTGGTTCACAATACAAGACATTTATTAAACGGTTAAGTTTGATTTTATGTAGACCTTGTTTGTTCAAGGGTCTGTGGTGGTGTGTGTATGAACTGTATTAAAGGGGACCTGTTTTAAAGGTCTTGTTTTTTGGCCTCTACTAGAACAGGTTTTCATGCTTGAATGTTTAAAAACACGTTATTTTCCTCATATTCTCCACTGTTGCGGCTCCTCTCTTCCCAGTCTGTCAGTAACGCTCTGTTTAGTTCCTGTCTCTATGAAGCCCCGCCTTCTGAAAAGCTCACTGTGCTCTGATTGGTCGGCTGGATCGGTGTGTTGTGATTGGTCAAGCGTTTGGGAAATGTCCCGCCCCTAATTACCAAAACCGCCAGTTTCAACACACTACTAACCAGGCTCCGCCCCTTTATTCTGCGTATGAATTATTTAAATGAGGAATATTGCGACGTTCGTTCCCGGAAGAAACTCATGACTAATGGAGGCGTTTCAGGGAGTTCAGGAACACTGACACTGATATAGAGAAGAACTCCCGCTGGAGGGACTTTATAACTTTACCGAGTTTATTCATGCTCACACTGAAGAAAGATGAACATGTACAAATAACATAATAGGTCCTCTTTAAAGCAGAACTCATGATAATGTTTTCAGTATTATATGTGACACGCATGATGTGATGGACTGAATGTGTGTTGCAGGATGAAGCCCGAGTGCAGAAGATGAGCAAACGCATCCACACGCTGGAGGAGGTGAACATCAACGTCAAGCTCCTGGGGGAAATGCTGAGTCAGTACGACAGGGACCGATCGTCAGACGCCGACCGCGAGCTCATCAAGGTGAGACTCCATGAGCACGACACACAGCGCTTAGACACGAGCGGGCCAAGAAAGTGCGTTCTTAAAGAAATGACTTGTAACTAATACTAAAGAAGATGTCCTGAGCATCAGGTGGTTAAGCTAGTGCAGTGGTTCTCAAACTTTTTTTGTTGTGCAAATCTGAATAGAACCGTGTTTAATAGAATATAACGGAGTAGATTAGAATAGAATATAACAGAGTAGAGTGGAATAGAATATAACAGAGTAGAGTGGAATAGAATATAACGGAGTAGAGATAAATATAATAGAGCAGAGTACAATATAATAGAGTAGAGTGAAATAGAATAGAATTTAACAAGAGTAGAGTGGAATAGAACATAACAGAGTAGAGTGGAATAGAATAGAACAGAGTAGAGTGGAATAGAATAGAACAGAGTAGAGTGGAATAGAATAGAACAGAGTAGAGTGGAATAGAATTAGAACGGAGTAATGATTAATAGAATAGAGTAGAGTGGAATAGGATATAACAGAGTAGAATTGAATAGAACATAACAGAGTAGAGTGGAATAGAATATAACAGAGTAGAGTGCAATAGAATATAACAGAGTAGAGTCTGAGTGGAATAGAATATAACAGAGTAGAGTGGAATAGAACATAACATAACAGAGTAGAGTGGAATAGAATATAACAGAGTAGAGGAATAGAACAACAGAGTAGAGTGGAATAGAATGGAACGGAGTAGAGTGGAATAGAACATAACAGAGTAGAGTGGAATAGAACATAACAGTGTAGAGTGAATAGAATATAACAGAGTAGAGTGGAATAGAATATAACAGAGTAAAGTGGAATAGAACAACAGAGTAGAGTGGAATAGAATATAACAGAGTAAAGTGGAATAGAACATAACAGAGTAAAGTGGAATAGAACATAACAGAGTAGAGTGGAATAGAACAACAGAGTAGAGTGGAATAGAATATAACAGAGTAAAGTGGAATAGAATATAACAGAGTAGAGTGGAATAGAACAACAGAGTAGAGTGGAATAGAACAACAGAGTAGAGTGGAATAGAATAGAACAGAGTAGAGTGGAATAGAATAGAACGGAGTAATGATTAATAGAATAGAGCAGAGTAGAATAAAGTAGAGTGGAATAGAATATAACAGAGTATAATTGAATAGAACATAACAGAGTAGAGTGCAATAGAATATAACAGAGTAGAGTCTGAGTGGAATAGAATATAACAGAGTAGAGTGGAATAGAACATAACAGAGTAGAGTGGAATAGAACATAACAGAGTAGAGTGGAATAGAACATAACAGAGTAGAGTGGAATAGAACATAACAGAGTAGAGTGGAATAGAACATAACAGTGTAGAGTGAATAGAATATAACAGAGTAGAGTGGAATAGAACATAACAGAGTAGAGTGGAATAGAACATAACAGAGTAGAGTGGAATAGAACATAACAGAGTAGAGTGGAATAGAACAGAGTAGAGTGGAATAGAACAGAGTAGAGTGGAATAGAACATAACAGAGTAGAGTGGAATAGAACATAACAGAGTAGAGTGGAATAGAACATAACAGAGTAGAGTGGAATAGAACATAACAGAGTAGAGTGGAATAGAACAGAACAGAGTAAAGGGGAATAGAATGCAACGGAGTAGAGTGGAATAGATTAGAACAGAGTAGAGATGAATAGAATAGAGCAGAGTAGAATATAATAGAGTAGAGTGGAAAGGAATAGAGTAGAACAGAGCAGAATAGAATCTTTCTTTATCACCACATGATCAGGTCTGGTGGAATTAGTTTCAGTTTCATGTCATTCTTAAACTCAAAACAGCAACTTTTGGTTGCCAGCCACAAATGTGCGCAATTCGTCAGTCGCCCGTTATTGGTTGAACATCTTATTTCACAGAAGTCACATGACAGCAGTGAAATAACTGTGAAGTGTGTTTCATGTGTTTAACGGCTGACTTCTCAGTGCTGTACTGTATCATCACAGCAGTTTCCTGTCTGTACTGTTAGAGCTTGTATAATTAGGTCGATGTAACCATGACAACAGCGCTCACATGTGACCTGGCGTCTGTGTCCAGGAGCTGTACGAGCGCTGTGACAAACTCCGACGCACCGCGTTCAAACTGGCCACCGAAGCGGAGGACAACGACTCCAGTCTGGGTAAACCACGCGACGCTCCGCTTTGAGTGATTGATTGTTTATTTGAAATGTTCATTATGTGTCTGCTTACTGTAGGGGACATTCTCAAGGCGAACGATGATCTGTCCAGAGTAATCGGCTCTTATAAACGAGTCGTGGACGGACAGGCGGACGATAACGAGTGTGAGGATCTCAGACCGGCCGCTAGTGAAGGTGACCTCAGGTTATATGTCCATCTTCCCTCAACTGCAGTATTTTGATCATCCAGAACATCTCATTTTCTCCCGACAGGATTTTTCGGTTACAGTTTATTTTAAGGTGTCATTGTTACAGTGTAATTATACATTTAAGTACTGAGTAATTTTAATCAACTACATGTACTTACTATAGGGTTAGGGGAAGATTAGGGTTTGGTTGAGGGTTGATTGCATGTAATTATACATAATTTACTATTATTACTACATGTAACGTAACGGACACCGTAAAATAAAGTGTTACCGATTTTTCTTGTTCCCTCAGGATGCGAGACCACGGGCACATTGATTGATCTGGCTGGACTGGATGAACCTTCCTCTCCCCCGACCGTCCCTCCTCCTCTTCCTCTTCCTCCTCCTCAGATCTCGTCCACCAATCACACGGCCTCCTCCATCCCTGTGCTCCCGCCTCCTCCTCGCCGATTGGCCGGCAGTCAGAAGAGCAGCCCCAATCACAGGCCTCCTGAGCAGCAGACCTCCCTCTCCCTGCTGGACGACGAACTCTTGTCTCTCGGTGATAAATCTCGCTTAAACTCGCTGTGAGACTGTCTGGTGATGTAAAGTAAAGGAATAGGCCATGCGAGGTCATGTGATGCAGTGAGTTTACCATGGTTTTACACTGGATCCCACATAGCGGGTGGTAAATCACTGTAAAACTAAACCTGTTGTCTTTTTATAAAATGACACCTAAATAAATAACTAATATTATTAATAATAAAAGCATTATTGTTATTACTGCATCAAGTTAAACTATCTATAATAATTTTTTCAACATTTCGAAAAGCATTATTAAAAAAAAATCATAAAAAATATTATTGTTATTAAAAAGTATATACAGTTTTGAAAACAATGTTTATTAAAACAAAGTTATAATTGTACTTGATATAATTATAATTAATACTAATAAAATATATTGTTATTAAAACTATGAAAAGTTTTGGCAATAACATTCAATAAATAATAAGTTTAAAGTTATTATTGATAATACAACAATTACAAATATTATTACTGTTATTAAAAATTATGTAAAACAATTATAATTTATATAACTGTAATTAATCAATTAATAATTATTAAATATTAATAATAATAATCCATTATATGCTTCTAAAATTCTCCCACTATACCAGTTTTTTAAAGTATCATTATAGTTTTATTAAAATTTTAGTAAAAGTTTTAGTAATTTTGTTGTGTGTTTTTGTAACTTTTATTAATTTTTTTTAATTAAATGTTGTTGTGTCATTCTCAGGCCTGAATGATCCGCCCTCTGTGCCGAACAGACCAAAGCTGGATGAACTCTCTGCTCAGTGGACGTCCCTACAGGTCGGACACACTACATCAGTCGGACTTCCAGATGTTGAGTATTAATAATCCTGAGAGAGGTGGTTGAATCTGTGATTTCGGTTGTCCTCTCCTGTCAGGCTCCTGATGCGGACCTGGACCTGTTTGGGAGCATCTCGGCCCCGAGCGCCGCCTTCCCCACGTCACACACCCCGGCTGTCAGTCAGGGGATGCAGGATCTCTCCATGCTGGACTTTGGAGGTGGAAAGAGGTATGATTCTGCTCTGAAACTGATATCCACGAGCGATATCCATAACGATAACTATATTTGCGAAAACTATATAATATATTTGCGAAAACTATATAATAGTTTTGTCAATTGACTTGTCTAGCAGTGGTGGATTTTTCTGGACCTCAGATATTAACTTCTCCACAATGTCGTCCGCCATTTCAAATGCGCTGTCAGGGTAATTTTTTTCCGTTTTGTTTCGTTTATTTCACACTTCATCATTGTATCATTTAAACACAATTTGAAAAGGAACAATGGTTATATGTCGGTCGCGTGAAATGGGGAAACCCAAAGAAGCTACTGAAAGCTTTTAGGAGGGGGCCTGATAACATAAACATACAACATATAATATACAAACCAAAAACTCAATATACCATAGACACAAAACAGACAAATACATAAATACAACAGAAAACAAATTCTACAAACAAACAGTTTTATCGTTCAACAGCTGGAAAAAAACGATCACAATGATATTGTTTCTCTGTATTGATATCGTTATTGCTGTGGTGTGAACTCTGCTTTTCTTTAATATTGAGAACGATTTTTAGAACTATATCTTTATCGTTATCTTTATCGTCATTGGAGTGAATTGGTTTCATATCAGTCACTTATGAGGGTGCGTGATGTTACGATGCTCCTTTATAAGGGAGCTGCCTGTGTAGAGCGCTTCTTTGACTATATAAATGAGACGTCATGTGTCTTCTTCCTCCAGTGTTTCAGGTCTGAGCGGTATCGCTGGAGGAACGTTTGGTCTTTCTGGAGGCTTCATGGGCTCGGCGGGCTCTAACCCGTTCATGAGCGCGGCGGGTCCCTCGTCTCCGGCTGTGGCTCGGGCTCAGGCCGGGACATGCGGCTCGGCTCCGGGCAGCCCCTTCTTTCAGCCCTTCTCGTCCCACTCGCCCCAGAGCAGCCCGGCGAGGAGCGCAGAGCCCAGCCTGGCCAGCCTGCACGTCCCGCTCGAGGCCATCAGACCCAGTGAGTGACCGACCCGCTCCAGCACACCGAGCGCATGATGAGCTACTGGTTCACATAAAGCTGATCATCGGAAATTATGTTCAAGGGATGAGCTGTTTACTTAAAATTGGAGGGAAATAAAAATAAATAATAATAAATATGCTAAATGTGGTTGAATACACTGTCACAATGCAAACAAAATTATAACTAATTAAAATATTAATTATCCTATATAATTATCTATATTATAGGCTTGATTTTCTTTATTCAATTCAATAAAAGTGATCTGTTATCAGAGGTAACTGACTTAAGTCAAACAAATCACATTTAGCTAAAAATGTATTCATTTAAACAATGTAATCATTTAAGGCAGAAACAATGAGCTCATTGAAGGTAATGAATACATGTTTGTTAACAAATGATTATGAAAAATATAGGAAAAATACCATATATATATATATATATATATATATATATATATATATATATATATATATACAGTATATATATATATATATATATATATATATACATGTATATATAAATACAAACACATATATATATTATAAATATATACATTTCATCATTATAAATAAATATTATATAACACTATCTAAAATCATAATATGAATCTATTATTTCATTGGTTTTATTATTTATTTAAAAAATTATTTTCCCAGTTTATAATCTATATTATAGGTTTAAAGTTCCTTTATGAACAATATATGTAACTTTTATTATAATTGATTATAAATTTGATATCATAATGTATTATTTCTTTATATTGATTTTGGGGTGAAATGTGAGTCAAAGGTTCTGTGAGATTGACCCAGATACCCAGTATTTGCATCTTGTTTGCCTGGTGTCCTCAGGTAAAGTCTTACCTGTGACGGTGTACGATAAGGATGGAGTTCGTGTTCTTCTGCACTTCGCGATGGACTGTCCCCCGGGTCGTCCGGACGTCCTGGTGATCGTGGTGTCGCTGCTCAACACGGCACCGTTGCCCGTGAGGAACGTATTACTGCAAGCAGCCGTTCCCAAGGTACGAGCTCCTCATCTGCAGACACAGAGCGGTTGGTTCACACCAGTCAGTCTCAATCGGCTCGGTTCTGTGATTCAGTGAACCAGTTCAGAGTTCACAAAGTTAAAGGTGCAGTGTGTAATATTTAGCTGCATCTAGTGGTGAGGTTGTGAATTGCACCCAACAAAAGTTACGGTGGCCGACAGGAAGTGATGTCGTCGTCTGAGACAGCAGAGAGTAGCCAGTTCAGCAATGAAGTAGGGTTGGGTATCGGTTGGGTTTTATCCGATACCAGTACCTACTCGGTATTTTTTAAACGGTTCCGGTGCCTAAACGGTTCTTGAAACGGTACTTAAGAAAATGAAACCGCACACACTTTATCAAAAAATAATACCCTTTTATTTCCAGGGCCAAACTGGACACAATATTAACTTAAATCTTTAAACAATATAAATACAAATAATAATAAAACCAATAAAAAATAAAAATTCACATTTACATAATATCAAATAAAACAATATTGTATCAAACAATGTAATAATACTGGAGATTAATAGAGATTACTAGCAGGCAGAGCTGCCAAGTCTCACGCATTGACCGTGAGACTCACGCAATCGACCCTTTTCACACGCTCTCACGCCACACATCCATTTTCTCACGCAGAAAAAAATCGCGGACAAAGAGGACACTGACACCGACAGACAAGGTTACTTTTGATATGGAACAAATCCACAGCTGTCAGATTCTGTCAATATTTTTACGAGATTCACACAATAAATAACGTTTTGGCTCTTTGAAATGTGACAGATCGCTGTAGCGCGTCAGTTCAAACGGCACGTGATACAGCAGCCTACAAATCCACTGCTTCTTAGCTACGCAGCGTTGAGTGAACCTATGAAAGAGAACATCTCTGGTTACTGGTGTAACCTATGTTCTCTCAATAGAGAACGAGACGCTGCCAAGCTCCTTGCGCTGCCGACCAGCTTCCTTTTTCGGCAAAGAAATCTGAGGAGCAGATGGCGCGCGTGCGCCAACATAATGACGATGTAAGTGCGTCGAGGTGGCGCCCGTGCCATTAGCCAATGAATTGGCTTGATTCTATATGGATTCAGACTATCGGCACACCCAGAGGGCGTTCTGACGCGTAATTTTACACGTGAAATGCAGCCTAACCTTGCGAGCAAGAGCGCGCATGCGAGACAGAAGAGACTGTGTGTGTGCGTGTGTGCCTAATTAAGTCAGGCACCGAAATCAGGAACCGAAATTGTCGTTCTTATTCGGTCTGGTTACTACCGTTTACGTCGGAACCGGTTCCCTATTGGCACCGAGTTTCGGTACCCAACACTAGCAATGAGGTTTCTTTACAAAGATACATTAAGAAATTACGTTTACTTAATTATTCAGTAAAATGATATGTTATTGCAAATATTATTGTTACTTGTTCATCATTGTGTGAGTGTTTTATCCGCTGACTTTAGGTTGATCTTTGCATGAAGAACAACATAGTGACGAAACACGTTTGTCCACTCAGGGCCACCGTAGAAACATGTCAATTTAAGGAGACGGTGTGTGTGTGTGTGTAGATAGAAATGGCTCAATCTAAGGTAATAAAAACAACGGTTCATTATGTAAGGTCTTTATACACCACTGAAAACATAGTTATATGATATTGCATTTCTGTCAACAGATCCTCCTAAATATTACAAAATGCACCTTTAACTAAGCATATTTTACTGTAAAATATGAAATTTTCTTGAAACATGTTTGATCACTCTGTGTAGATCTGATGCACAAGTTGCACTGTGAATATCAGCTTTGAGTTGACCTCTGACCCTGTACGGTCTTGTGTGTGTGTCAGTCTATGCGAGTGAAGCTTCAGCCTCCGTCAGGCACAGAGATCGCGCCCTTTAACCCCATCCAGCCCCCCGCCTCCATCACTCAGGTCATGCTGCTCGCCAACCCACTGAAGGTCAGAGGTCACACACACATACATACAATACCTGTTTTATTAAAAATATTACAATATAAAAATCCAATAAAATGTTAATAATTTTTCTTTAATTATTTAGAAAAAATATTTATTTTAGTTTTTTTATTAAAAATAAGGTGGAATAAATAGTTATTTTAAATGTATAAATTTTATATAAAAATAAAAAATATTATTTATTATATTATTATTAAAAATAAGGTCAAGGTCAAGGTCAAGTTTATTTATATAGCACGTTTACAAACAGGCACTGCTGCCCCAAAGTGCTGTACAGATACAAAGAATCAACATAAAATAACCATACAATACAACATAATAAAAGCGACACGAAAAAAAAAAAAAAATTACACAACTCAGCTTGTGTTAAAAAGCTAGTGCAAAAAGATGAGTTTTTAAAAGTGATTTAAAACTCTCCATAGATGTAGCTGCTCTAATATTGAAAGGAAGAGCGTTCCAGAGCTTAGGACCTGCAACACAAAATGCTCTGTCCCCTCTGGTTTTCAGTCTGGACCTTGGACAGTTTAAAAGCGGTCAGTGGACCTGAGTGCTCTGACTGGCGTGTGCAGAGTCAACATGTCGGATAAATATGCTGGAGCCAACCCATTTAGAGATTTAAAAACAAACAATAAGATCTTAAAATGGATTCTAAAAATGACAGGCAGCCAGTGGAGAGATGACAGTACCGGGGTGATGTGGTCACTGCGCCTTTTCCCTGTCATCAGGCGTGCAGCCGCATTTTGAACTAGTTGTAATCGGCGAACTGAAGACTGATCAAGGCCATAGTACAATGAGTTACAATAGTCCAGGCGATTTGTTATCAGGGCATGCACAACTTTTTCCAGTTGGTTGTGGGGCAGGTAGGGCTTGACCTTCCCTAGAAGTCTAAGCTGAAAGAAGCTTGTTTTAACCACTGAGCTGATTTGTTTATCAAGTTTAAAAGAACTGTCAATAAAAACACCAAGACTTTTTACTGACGGGCAGCAATTTGGCAGCATTTGTTCAAGAGTACTGTTAAAACCAGAGACATCGGGCTCCCCAAAAATTACAAGTTCAGTTTTTTTGTCATTTAGGTTTAAAAAATTCAATGACATCCAGTCTTTAACTTCTTGTAAACATTTTTTCAGAGCTTCAACTGAGTTTGTTTTGATATTCAAAGGTAGATATATTTGGATGTCATCTGCGAAACAATGAAAGGAAATATTGTGTTTTTGGAAGATTGATCCCAGGGGCAGCATATATAGAGAGAACAAGACTGGGCCTACAATTGAGCCTTGAGGCACCCCGCTGTCAATTGGGGCTTTGTCTGAATAAAAAGGACCAAGGTTTACAGAAAAGGACCTATCTGTCAGATATGATTGAAACCACTTCAGAGCTGTGCCTTTAATGCCTGCACAGGACTCTAGTCTGGATAATAAAATATTATGGTTGACCGTATCAAATGCTGCCGTTAAATCTAAAAGCACTAGCATCGCAGAGCTACTAGAATCAGAAATTAAAAGAAGATCGTTAAAAACTTTTAAGAGAGCAGTTTCTGTACTGTGACAGGATCTAAAACCAGACTGAAATTTTTCAAAGATGTTGTTGGAATTTAGATGCAATTGAAGTTGGGCATATACCACTTTTTCTAAAACTTTACACAAAAATGGAAGCTTAGACACTGGCCTGTAGTTGGACAAAACAGAGGAGTCCAAATTATGCTTTTTCAGGAGGGGCTGCACGATGGCCTTTTTAAAAGCACCCGGAACACGCCCAGCTGAAAGTGACAAGTTTATCAAATTTAAAATACAAGGCCCAACAGTGTCAATAACATCTTTAAAAAGTTTGGCTGGAAGGCTGTCTGATGAACAGACCGAGGGTCTTAAACTTTGGACCATCTTTGACAACTCAGAGAGAGATATTGGCATAAAATCTTCAAAAACAACTGAACATAAAGGTAAAATACTGGGATCTGGCGCAACACAAAGGGTTAAGGCCCGGATACTGGCCACTTTATCCATGAAGAATTTACAAAATCTGTCACACAGAAGGGCACTGGGAATGATGCCAGTATGCTCAGGGGGGTTGATTATCCTATTTAAAACATTAAAAAGAACATGAGGTTTGTTACAGTTGTTTTGTACAAGGTTTGACATATACTGAGTCTTTGCAGCCTTAACAGCGTCTTTGTAGTTAGACAAACAGTCCCTTAACATCCCCAGAGATACATGAAGTTTGTCTTTTTTCCATTTTCTCTCAGCACGGCGACATTCCCTTCTGAGAGCACGAGTAGTGTCATTGTGCCATGGCTCTCCATTTAAATTAGAGCGCCTGAGCATAAACGGTGCTATTGAGTCAAGGATTTCTGTGCACGTTGAGTCAAATAGAGTAACCAGTTCATCAATGTCCATATTTGAACAAGAGGCACCCATGGACATGAAAGGAGAGTTATCGAACGCTGCAGCAAAAAGGGAAGCCGTAGATGGACTTATAGCGCGCCGCTGACGCATGGGGACGCACGCTTTACTTAGAGGGCGCGGCAGAGAAACAGAAAACAAGACAGGCATATGGTCAGAAATACCTGCATCAGAAATATCCTTTATGGACAGATTTAGGCCATGGGACAAGACCAGGTCTAAAATATGTCCCTTGTTATGAGTCGGGCAGTTCACAGACTGACTGAGGTTAAACGAATCTAAGATGTTTAAAAAGTCCTTGACCAAGGGCTTAGAAGTACAGCAAACATGAATATTAAAATCACCAACAATTAAAAAATGATCATACTTAAGAGCCATGCCTGCCACGAACGCCGAAAAATCCTTTATAAAATCCTTATTGAATTTGGGAGGGCGGTAAATGAGCGCACATAATACTGTTAGATTGAGGTTTAGTTCGAAGAGTTGCAGCTCAAAGCTCTTGTATTGTTCACAAGGGGTTTTCTTACAGTTTAGCATGGTTTTAAAAACTGTCGCTAGACCCCCTCCTTTTCCCGTGGTTCGTGGAGAGCTAAAGAAAGAACATGCCGGTGGAAGAAGCTCTGAGAAGGGGAAACACTCACCCGGTTTAACCCACGTCTCTAAAAGAAGCATGCAGTCAAGCTCCCGGGATACAAAGAAGTCGTTTAATATAAAAGTCTTGTTAGACAAGGATCTAATATTGATCAGTGCCAACTGAAGAATAGTATCCTCCGTGCGCGAAGATTTGGCTCGAGCCACTGACCGGAGATTCATTAGATCCACGCCGCGTTTGGCCGCTCGGGAATGCCGGGGAACGTGCTCCTCCAACGGTGCGCGCAGCTGGTCCACAGTGATAACAGCTCCGGGATGGATCGGGAGAAGCCACCGCTTCCTGGAGTCCGGGGGAAAAAGGACACCCAGTAAGGAACAGCTACTTTGAAACCCCAGACCATTTCTCCGTGTAGCCCGCAGGTATGCTCTCACTCTAGCAACCACGCCACCTCGCTTTCCCCGTCTTCTGGGGCGTTTCCTCCGCGGAGCAACAGGTGTACGTTGCAGGTGCGCCGGCAGGCCTGGCAGTGGAGGGGGGGTTATATCCGAGGACTGGTCTCCATGAATATTTCTCTTTTGAAATATAACATGTTGATCACGAATACAGAGAAGTGTCTGGCGATCATACACTAACAGAGCTGAGACATTTTGATAACTTAAAATAATAAACAAAACAAACAGGGTTCCAAACAGGACAGAGAGACACTGCGCCGTGCACACTGCTGGCGCCATGTTTCAAAAATAAGGATGAATAAACACATTTTTGTATTTAATTTTCAAAATTATTTTTTAAAGATTGTTTCTATTACTGTTATTATTATCATTATAAAATAGAGGGGGATAATTAATACATAATTTAAATAAAAATCTAATATCTTGGAATAAAATCTTTTAAAAATTATTTTAAAAGATTATTATTATTTAAAATATTGTTCTTATTGTTATTATTATAAAAGAAGGGGGAATAAATAATTAAATGTTTGTATTTAATTAAAAAAAAATAGTCTTTTTTTAAATGATTAAAAATAGGTGATGGTGAGAGGTCACACACACATACATTACCTTGTTTTATTAAAAAATATTACAACAAAAAAATCCAATAAAATGTAATTAATTTAAAAAAAAAAAAAAAAATTATATTGTTGTTGTTTTTATTAAAAATAAGGTGGAACAAATAATTATTTAAAATATTATATATAATTTAAAGAATTATATAAAAATAAATATATTTTATTTATTTATAATATTATTGTTATTATTAAAAATATGGAGGAATAAATCTTTTTTTTGTATTTATTTTTTAAATGATTATTTAAAATACTGTTATTGTTATTATTATCATAAAATAATAAATAAAACACATTTTGTATTCAATTAAATACAAATAAAGTATTTTTTAAATTATTAAAATAATTATAAAATTGTTATTATTGTTATTATTAGTTAAAAAGGGGGGATAAATAAATATAAATATATATTTTTTCATTATAAAATTAATCAATAAAATCTTAAATAAATAATTACATTTTTGTATTTAATTAAAAAAAAAATTAAATTATGTATTATTGTTTTATTACAATATTGTTTTTGTTACTGTGATTATTATAAAAAATTAGTGGGAATAAATAGTTAAACGATTCAAAATGTGACACCACTTCATAAAGGTGTGTGTGTGTGTGTGTGTGTGTGTGTGTGTTCCAGGAGCGTGTGCGTTTGCGCTACAAGCTGACGTATCTGCTGGGCGAGCGCCAGTACTCGGAGGTGGGAGAGCTGGACCAGTTTCCTCCAGCGGACAGATGGGGATCCCTCTAGAGAAACCCAAACCTTCGTTCCCAAGTATCCCGTTCATTTGTGCTGCTGATTTATGTTCAATCAGTGTTTTACTGTAGCGCTGCGAAGCTGCACTCGATGCTTGATGTTTTTCACCAAAATTCAAGCTGGATATTATCATAATAACACACCGTCAGTGACACACATGATGTCCTGAAGCGGACGCACGCGTTTCAGAGATTGATCTTTTGTGTGCTGCACTTACAGCAGTTTACCATGGTAATCACAGTTTCCAGCAAAATACCACAGTAAAACAGTAACGGATAGCACTTTCAACAAATAGGGGACAAAGTTATTGTAAAAAAGTTTAATTAATCATATTTTTCTTTCCTTTGTGTGAAATTACTTTCGTGATTATCAGCTGATCTGGGGTCGATCGATCGAAGCATCCCTAGTTATAAAGTCAGAATTGAAAGATAAATGTCGCAATTACCTTTTTTTTTCATGTTTTATTCAGTGGCGGAAACAAGCTTCCATATTTCTTATCTTTGTTACCAGTGTTATTTTAGTATCATTGAAATATTATTATTAAATATTTTGAAATAGTTTTTATTTTTGTATTTTCCGTTTTCGTTTTAGCTTTAGTAATTTTGTTTGTTTTTATCATTTTTATTAGTTATTGTTTTTAATATATATAGATATGCGTTTATAGTTTTTATAATTTTTTTGTTTTAGTTATTTTTAGTACATTAAACTAAACAAAAATGAATAATGTTGCTTTGGTTTTTTTAATTATTATTGCAAGTATTATTGCAAGTATCAAGTTTTTTAATGGTTTTACGTAGTTACCTATAATAACCCTGCTTGTTACCCAATGTGTTTTTTTATTATTATTACATATATTTAATTTTCAATTTTTATGTCTTTTTTAGGTTTATCAAATGTTTCTTTAATGCTTATATAATATACGTAGTTGAGAAGCTGCTTTCACAGACTACTTGTTGAAAATACAAAAAAATTGAACAAAATTTCAAGCACTATTTTGTACCTTATTTTGTGCTGACGGTGGTATTTTGGTGTAAACTGTGGTGCATCATGGGAAGTTCAGAAGCCGAGCTGATACTGATGGTGTCAGGTGACCTCGCCGCCGTCCGTGGAGTGTATTTAACCGTGATTTTAGTCAGTTCTAGGTGTCCTTACGCGCCTCAAAACAAACAAGCATTTGAACTTTGCCGTTTCTAGAACTAAGACTCATCCACTACAAACTTCAGCTCTTGAATCGTGAAGCATCAGAACGAATGTAATGAAACGAGTTTACAGCAAGAGTTCATGTTGAGGTTTTTGTTTATCTGCCTATGTTATAGTTCAACACTGTTTCTAATTTTATTTATTGCTGCTACAGGAACGTTTGGACTCAAGTTTCAGCATTACAGGCTGTCTTACAGCATTTATGGACAATATTAGATTTGTTTATTTAACCCTCATCCTTCCCTCGCACTTTGTAGCATATCTTTCCCACGCGGGTCAAAATGACCCGAAGCCCTAAAATTATACCTATTTTTTTTCAAATTTTTAATGCAAATTTATTTATTTTTGTTATTTTTTCCTCTTTACCTTTTAAATTACTATATTTGATCAATACATAAGAAATAAATAGTAATTTAAGCACATTCCTCACATTCTTTCAACACAATTTCATGCATCACCCCTTTAATTCAGCTCAAAATATCTTACATTGTGTGTCTTTGCCGACGTCTTGTGGGAAAATAATAATATAATATGATATATCACGACTCTAGACGGTCTATAGCTCTATATGGAGCAAATAAGCTGTTCCTCTGGGTCCTAAAGACATTTTAACTTCGTTATGCATTCAGATACACGTATAGACATTTTTTTTTGTGGTAAAGTTTTAGCATTTTTAGTTTGAATTTTGAGCATTTTTATGTTTTTCTATGTGTACTGAAGCATTCCTCGCATTATTTTCATTCCTATGGGGTTCAAATTGACCCGCGAGGGAAGAATTTGTTACCTTTTTTAAATTTCATCTAGGATGAGGGTAATCATGACATATTTACATGGTGTTTTTGCCTGCAGGTTATGATTGGATGAAGATATTGATTGAGGACGAACTGCATTTGAGTTAATAATGAGTTTATCATAAATATGTCAGATTGTAGATGTGTGTGTGTGTGTGTGTGTGTGTGTGTGTGTGTTTGGTCAGTCCTCTGAGCGTTCACATGGTTTGAGCAGTGAGAGAGAGCATTTTACTTCATCTGACAAAGGCCTCGTGTGATTTTAGACGCTGATTTAGTCCCAAAGCAACCCTAATGTGTCTGACTAGAATAACGGGACACCTGCTCCTCCTCTAATATGTGCAAACCGTACAATTCATTACGATCATGTGTTTTAGACATCAGCAAGTGAATCTCACACAGAAATTACATATTTAATCATATTTCATCCGCAAAAACATGTTAGTGGTCTTAAAACAGACTTAATTTGGCAAAATGTGTTATTTTGGGGGTGAAATATGACCCAGAGACATGTTTGAGATGAATCTGATTCATGCCTGTGAATCTGGTCGTGTGTTTGAACGCATTAATCTGTATTTCTCTGCTGATTATGACTGATGTTTCGGTGAGATGATGGTTTGAGAGCTTCATTGTGCATCAGCATCAAAGCCTTTCCAGTATTTCAGAGGAACCTCGTGTGAATATTAATGAATCATTGTGTCTCTGTTAAAGAGTCAAAGCTTCATCTGGTCTGATGATGTTATTGACGAGGTTTAGGAGGATTCATGAAAGTATGTGGGACAAATGTTGAACTTATGAAAAAAATGATAATGGTTGATGATGATGATAAAGATGCACTGCTCTGGTGTTTAATAATGATTTCATCATGTGTAACGTTACTGCGCCATTAAATACTTCAAATTAATTGACCAGCACAAGTTTCTTTCCTTTTACATGTTTCCTGTTGGGTGGGATTTAATTACAAATCACTATTTTTTACCATCTGTCATATAAAGGCAATTTTCACCATCCCACTCAATTTCTGATGGATAAAATCCGATAAAATCAAGTCTGAACTTACCTTTACTCTCAAGGACTAACGTTATCCTGTTTAATTCAGAAAAACATCACAATAAAAGTGAAACGTTGATTTTAAAGGATCTGCATTTGTAAATTATACGGCTCAATTATATAAGAACTTGAGCTGGTTTGAGATGTAGAGTTAACGTTATATATTAGTCAAGAAATGAATTGATATGTTTGAGGGTGTCTAACCTTCCTTTCCTGTGGTAAACGACACATTTCACGCGGCTTGACGTTTTGCTCATCGCTGAATCTGAATTACGACGTTTTGTGGAGTATCTGTAGCTGTATAGGTCAAAACTGTACCTTAAACGTCCGTTCACGCATATAACAAAGATAACTATTTTTTGCGTTAGACCAACGGACGATAACGGCCTTTTTTTCCTACGCGCGCGCTTCAGGATTACGTAATTCCAGAGCGCGCTTTTAGTGAATGATTCTGATTGGCTGTATCGTTCATCATCACACAAACAAAAAATCGCTCTCAAATTGTTTTCAGCTATATTCTTCCTCTGTATGGTTATTGTAATTAAAACCTCTACTTTCTTGGAAATCTATAATTATAAATGTAATATTTGATATACATTATTAATTATATATAAAATTGTGGTTATTGTTTTAGTGTGAATGGGACTTGAATCGACCTACAAGCAGAATAAACCATGTACAATATTAGTCAGGGTTTTTTGCACCATCATTTAGTTGTAGTATGATATTTTTCACCCGTATATGATTCTTAAGATTAAACAGGCTGTTTGAGTTGCTGTACCTCAACTTCTAATGCAAAAGAGCACAACAATTTAGTTTACCCTCACAAACACTTTATATGAAGACAAAAGAAATCAATATGAAAGACATATTTTTGCAAATACTGGAAAAGTTTTTATAAAATACATCACATTTTTTAATCCAAGTTTTCTGAATTATGTACAGGACACAAAAAAACAGCTTTGAATGTTAATTCAATGATCAGATGAATTTATGTTTCTATCGTTCCCTCTTTCACGATGGCCATGGCGAGGTTACGGGCCAGAGACAGTCGCAAGAGCTCCATCTTTGTGGACTCGATATCTTCATCCTAAAACACACAGAGGAAAAACAGCTTAGAAACTTCTTCATTTACAGCTAAACCTTATAAATGGGCAGCTCATGTGTCTCTGGGACGTTCTGGACGAGCAGTACCTGGTCTCCCTGCTTTGGCTCTTTGGTTCCTGAGTTCAGTTCCTCCAGACAGGACATGAGCTCATACGTCTGATCCACGGAGAAGATCACCTTTACATGCAAAGAAAACAGAGCGATTTAAACGATATGCCAAACACACTATGGTTACCTTTTATGGGTTAAGCTGGTATGTTTAAATTTATGCATTCAAGGTATGTACTTTATCAGTTCATATTACAGACAGACAGAACTAGTCAATCTTATTTTATGTTGGAAATGATCATAAAACCTCTAAATGGTTTGGCTTCAATGGTTCAAATTCTGTAGCTAGCCAAAGTTTCATTGTTCCTAGCACGTTCTCTCCTAAGGTTACCAGTTAGTGTAAAGCATGAGGTGTGTGTGACCTCTTTCTGCTCCAGCAGAGGCAGTGCGTCGGTCAGCAGGGTCATCCACAGGCTGCGCGGGGCGATCTTAGCCGTCATGAGGGACAGCAGGAGTCTGGCCGCCTCAGAGAAGCGATGCTCACCGTAGAGCCTGTGAAACTCACGGTACTTTCCTAAAAACACACGCGCACACATGGTCATACATCTCACGGACTACAGACCTTCTTAAAGACAACATGAAATGGCATTAGTAATCGTTTTTAAGTCTGTGGTGTGACGTTGTTCAGAGTGAAATAGGAAATCTGACAAGAAAAACATGGGACTTCATTGGAATTGAATGGGTGTTTCATAACAGAATGAGTCAGAGCTGAATGTGCTTTTGCTGAAAACAATAACTTATGAATTGCTTTAGTTATTGGTCAGTATTAATACATGAAGAGAAAGTTATTAGATAATATAATGTGCACTGGTGAATCCTTCACAGTTAGTGAAGGAAAGCCAAAGTGAAAGCTGTGATGAATAGATCTGAGAAAAAACCAGCGGACTGAAATATGAGTTATTCATGAAACTGAATTATAGCAGCTCTCCAGATAAATCAGGTGAATGTCGTCGGCCTGTCATGTTGTACCTAGAAACGTCAGTCTGTCGC